CAACTACAGTACAACCAATATCGTCACCCCAACAATAAAGGCACAGATAAGCCAATTTATATATCTTCAGTAATTAATGTCTAAGAATGTCCAACACAACTCTCATCAAGAATCTCACACGACGAATGTGAGATTATAAGAAATATTCACTGCTCAGGAGATCCATAGTTCTTCTAAATGTGCAAACATGATAAGATCCTTCAGTGCCAGTTACTCATGTACACTGGATAGCCCTGTGCATTAAGACGTCATGACTATGGGATCTAAGACGATGCTGATGTGGGACAAGTCCAATAATTTCTTGTTCTAGTCAGGTATAAGATTGATCTGAAGTCAATTTTGAGTCTATACTTTGTAATCATGTTTAGTTCCAGTTTCAGATTACTAAAAGATATCAAGCATACGCATTGAGAATCATTTTCTTTTAGGATGCCACTTGGAATTGCTCAACAACCTGAAACCACTAGACAATGAACCTAAGATGTTCCTCAAAACTCAACAGAAGTTGATTTCTATACCAACTCAGATACCGAGTGGATATTTAGAATCTTTATAGAAGTTGATTCCATTGATATAATTTGGGTACTGTTTATGCTACAATACCGCAACAGTATGTGAACAGCAAATGTGATATTTAACTAAAAGGTTGTTGACATTTTCATATTCTCAGTTAAATCCACTTGTTAAATTTGAAAAATGGATAAATATAAGTGTTGACTGGAATAGTCTAGATACATGTGGAAAAGTTCTTGCATGTAAATATTTAGATAAAGAAAGTTAGTCTGGCAATCTTTATTCAGCATTTTTTTTCCTTGCTTTCCCTCAGATATTCTCTACTTTGATCTCCTAGTGCTACATCTAGGCACATAGCAAAAGTCCAAAGACCATCTTCACTTTTTCCATCATAACTTTCGCTACCTGTGTTTTGCTGTTTGACCTGGGGAACACCCAAACAAATAGTAAGCCCCACTAGTGTCCTACCACTTCCTAATACCCATTACTCGATATTACTGTGAAAAATCCGGTATCTGGTATCAGTGTGAATGACTCTGCTAAAACCAGTGATCCTACCTGCTAGTGCTAAAAATCCAGTCCAGTCCAATCATAAGTATACCCATGGAATAGTCAAAAATCTCTAAGAAGATGTAAAGACAAGTATGATCACTTTTAGGGCATCCAGATGAAAAATGCAAAATCATACCAAAATCCTCCTAAGAATCCACTAGAACATCATCTTTTTTTGTAAAAAGTTTCTTCTACCCAAAAGGTATTCCACAAAGTAGAAGGAAACTACTAAGAATTTATGGCTGTGAGGCAAAGCAATAATTTAGTACACTGGTCAACTTACTTTTTCTAGTGATCGTACCAACTTTTTCTAAGTTTCAGCCGTCCAATAAGTAACGATTTGAGTGGACAAATATGACTTAAAAGTTAAATAAATCCAAATTCCAGTAGCAAAACACAAGCTCATTAAGTTGGTTACTAGAAAACAACAACATAATGCAAGAAACTGGTAGTATCACATGCTAAAGTAAATCAATCGATCACTCACTGTATTCCACTGCAAGTCACGCAGATGAAAGTCCAAAAATTGATGCAAACATACTGTGGACCCTGCGCCAGCAACGCGTACAAAAAAGAAATCAGACCGTAAACAAACTGATCCTAGAGATCTACCGAAACAAAGAAAGCCTCTGAGAGGATTCCAACCAGGCTGTTGCAGTTGATGCACTTCCTGTTGGGGGGAAGCTTCAGGAGACCCCTAATGACCTTCTCATTCCTTTCGTCCTCCTTCTTGCTACTCATCCTCTCCGAATTCCACAGCTAACCAGCGACTCCGCGGCCCACCCCCTTCTCGCGTATCACGATCACTATCCACCCGATCAGACGTCAGACGCCTTCGGTTAGAAAACGACACCAAATTACACAACCTTGGGGCCAAATCTAGGGTTTTGTGAACTGCAAGACTTAGAAGGAAGAAGGGGGAGGGAGAGTGCCATCAAGATTGGCCGAGGGGGAAGGTCGAGCCGGGCGAGTGAGAGGTAGGGATGAGATATGGGCGATCGCCGAGAAGAAGAAGAAGAAGAAGAGGTTGATGGGAAGGGGGTTATGTGATAGTAACAGGGAAAGGGAAAGGGAGAGGGTGGAAACCGGTGGGTTGGAATGATAGACACGAAAGGTTTTAAATAGTGACTAGGGGGTGTCTGTTAAATCGTGTCTCGGTGTTCGTCATGGGATGAAAGGAAGGGTTTTCCACTCGGGGACTGTAGTCTTAGAGTCGTGACTCTTGCGGTGAATGGGTGGTTCGGTGGCAAGCTCAGTTACGAACCGGTCATCCATGGGGTCAAACTTCGGTTCGTCTTATCGGGACCGGTCGGTCAACGTCAATCAGTCACACTGTCGATTTACTAAAAATATAAAAAAAACATTTATTTTAGAATTTTATTTAAGCCATTGAGAAATTACTTGGGGTTTTTTATTTTAATTTTACTCTCATTGCATATGTCAATAGTAATAAAAGATTGTTGATCTCATATCAATTTTTTGGACCTGTTCAAAGAAATAAAACTAGAAGAAAAAAGAAAATTTACTAGTATTATGTTGGGTTTCTTTGAATTTTTTTTTTTTTAACTAGGGGCAAAAAATCGATTAATTCATGTTATATGATTCACTTGGTCCGAATTATTAATTTCACTCATTTGATCATTCATCAAAACAATATTTATGGGTCCAAAATTTTCAATCTAATCTTTATTTAATATATTTTTTATTATATCAATTTCATATTTGTGATAAGCTTAGTCGAAAATTGAGCTTGCTTTCTTCTCGCATTCGACGTGTCCTCGCTGTCTTTTTCATGATCCGACTCCTCAAGCACATGCCTTGGATATAATACTAATCCTTCCCTGATGCATCTGTATCCATCCCTTATTCTGCGTTACATATGTATACTCCATTAAAGAAAGTGAAATGACAGCATACAGCTTCGCATGCGTCGGTTCGTCTTCTCGTCTCATCAGAGTCGAGACCTGTTCGTGGAGATGACCGCTTGTTTTTGGGCTTGCGGAGCATAGAAAGAACACCTCTTTTGTCGACTGGTTTCATGTCATCGTTCGACAGGTGTCTTATTTCTGCGTACGTGCTGCTGTGCGTAGCCAAGCGCCTCCAATGTCCGCCCTCGTCCACGTAGCGTCATGCTTGAGCCATGCCTGCCGCCATCGCCTACATGGCTTCACTTACAGATCGGAGGTTGAATACTGCTTTGCTTAGTTAAGGAGTCACAAGATAATGCCGCCCAGCATCAGCAGTGGAGAGGAGGAATTCTTAGCAGCATCCGAGAAGGCGCCCAGCATCAGCAGTGAGCACGACTACAGACGTCCGTTGGCTAGCGATGCTCGTCGGGCGATTGACTACTTCACCGGCAAGGAGGAGACAAGAAAATGGATCGCGGAGACCGGAGAGTCCACGCCGGTACATTATGTCCGAACCCGTGTCGTTTCTTTGGTTGATGCTCTCCCTCCATGAACATATTGCTTGGAGCAGGCTAAGTTAGGACAAACGGATGAGGCAGCGAGACAGCAGCGTGAAGAGGCAAGGCTGAGGGAGGCGGAGGCGGAGGATAGGCCGAGGGCGGAGGATAAGAGAAGGAAGGCCGAGCCAGGACTCAGTACAGAGGCTCAGAAGGGTTAATTACATATTATTACCCGTTATAGTTAATTAGTCTTAGTCCTTATATTTTAAATAATTATATTAACACTCCTATATTTACTCTAATATCACCTATTTTATTAATAAAATATATATTTAAAAAAATATAATAAAATAATTTTACCCTTTCATCGCTCTATATATACGTCAACATTGATGCAATTATCAAGCGACAAAAGGATTGTTCAATATATGCATCAAATGTCTTTTTGTCATTCAATAATTACATCAATATCGATACAAATGCAGAGCGACGAAAGGATTGCTTAACAACTACATAAACGTCGACGTAAGTATAAAACGATCATAATCTCTCATTATCACTCTCCTTATCCACAACCGCGCTTAGCGACATCGTCATCTGTCACTACCGACATTATCTTTCACCCAAAAAAAATATTAAAATTATTTTTTATATTTTATTTTAATATTTTTATTGATAAAACTGATGATACTAAGATAAATGAACTTAGATGTTTGATTTTAGTAACGATAAAAATATTAATATAATTTTTTTAAAAATATAAATATTAAAAATACTTAAAAAATAAATAATAATTATAAAAAAATCTATAATTAACGCTGCGATCAAGCAGAAGACAGATGCCGGCGTGGTGGTGGAGTATAAAACTAGAGGACAGCAAAGGTAAGGAGGAAGACGTCGTGGATGACGGGATAAAAGATAGATAACGACATGCATATGCTTTTAGATGAGTGTTAACCTGCAGTGATGGGCGGTCCTGTATCAAAGATGACAAAAGGTGTACAGTGGAGGTTTGCTTCGGCTTTAATCTAAACAGAAGCAAATTTAAAACACCGAGGGGGAGATTCTTTCTTGTACGAAACTTCATCCAATTTCCGATCATCAGTCTCAATTTCCAAATTATTGGCCAAAGCTAGAGTCACTGAATGCTAAAGATGATCTACATACCCCGGTGTAAAGCCGACCGGCCAAGGCTAAACTCATTTAATAGATCAGTGCAGAACCAAAAACTACGATGTCAATTTCCATTGATGGGTATGGACGAATCTGCTATTGCCATGCACATGTTATACAACCTATATCAACCAAAGCATCAAAATCAAATTTACCAAAGCTGAAGGCAGCTGTAGATTTTCCTTTTCCGCATTTGTTGAAGGAATCAGAAGAACCAGCCAAGTCAGTACCGGCCTTGTAAGAAGGGATCATCGTTTAGTCTACTAATAATGTTCTAAGCCACAAATTAGCTCGCACGGTGTAAATTACACCATAGCAAGTAGATTACACAGGAGAAAAGGCAGACGTCCGCAGGTGATGAACTCAATTCACAAATCATCTGTTTGTAAATGAACTAGAATCACAGGCAGCAAGCAGACAGCTAACACATCTAATTTCTGAATACATGAAATCTGATGTCTTAAAATGCAAAAAGCTGAGGTAATACAATCCATATAAATTACACTAAAATTCTGTTACCTCTCATGTCCCAAAAGCAATCAAACTGGCACGAAGTAAGAATATTTAAATTAAGCACTTCCTGGCCATTTAAGCCTGACAAGCAAATACAAAAAACATATATCAGCAGAACACAATTTATATCAATTGTGTAAAATGCATTTTTGATCTCAGAAAGAAATTTAGCACAAGAGAAATCTCTAGCTCGAATTATATGTCAAAAGAAATCAATTGTTGCAAGCTTAAACGAAGATAAGATACCTTGCTGGCAATGTTGTTCGAGAGCCAATCAAGCCCCTCATACAAACCCTCACCAGAGGTAGCGCAAGTGCTCTGGATGTACCTGATGATAGTCACAATGTATGTGTCCATATTAAACAGGACATGAAACCTACTTAGTCTCAATCGTTTTACTTAAACATCTATGGTCCTCTGTTGTCTTGCAAAGATTCTTGTTAAACCCAAAATTTTAACAAAAAACAAGGGAAAAATAAACCTAGTGGTTGACTAATTATGACAGTATAGAAGAAGCATGCGTAGAAAAATAAACTTCACTGAATACTGCATTTGATATCTAATAATTCAAAAAAGTCTTTCCATGCAGTGATGTATAACATTTCACTTGATACAATTGCTGAAAGATCTGGTTACACAAAAGCTTTCGTATATGGCTTCCTCACAACATTATATGAATAAATTGTTCGGTCATTAGATATAGCAGTATGCCAAACTAATCAGTGCTAATGACAAATTTCACATTCTTTAATGATCACAACTAATTTGATACAAAATAGATGAAACATCAGATCAACAGGTAAATTGCTTCTTTCATATCCATATTTACAACGAAAACAGCCATATCCTAGTTAGTTGCACAAACACAAACACCAAAGTTTAACATCAAGTTATTTGCTCATCTATTATCATCACATGACTGCTTTCCTACCAAAACCATGAAATCCATCCTGATAAGTGAAACTAGACAAGGGTACCTCTGACTTCATGGTCATTGTGAAATCCAAGCAATACTGGGCACATTATACCAAATAAATGGAGCTCTAGGTAAGCAAAATGAGATGAGAGGACAGGAGTAAGAAGGGAGCGCCATTTAAAGCCAAATGGATGAAAAACTAAATCAAGGTTTTCTTCCTAAAACATCAGACTTTGTAATTTGCAATTTTAGATCATTTTTTAATTCATTTCAAAATGTTGATCATAAGCTCAGCCTCTCTGGCAAACATCTTAAATGAAGAGATCATATATGATCAAATAGTTCTCCAACCATCAAGTGGAAAAAGAAGAAAACCTTCAGGTCCTCAAAAACCAAGGAATTTCTCTATTCTTAAGTGATCATATTAATCAAGTATCTTTTATATCTACAAGTTAACCAACAAAATGACAATGCCAATATTGCTCCACTTCATCTACAACCTTGTTATGTGATTTTGACATGAGTTATCAATCATAACAGCAAGAATCTGCAAGACTTCTCAACAAGTTCAGCATAACAAGACCAGAATGTCGTACCAGTGTCGCTGGCGCAAGGAATGCAGACCAAGCTTGTCGGTGATTTCAGCAGCATTCATTGCATTTGGAAGATCTTGTTTGTTTGCAAAAACAAGCAAAACAGCGTCCCGCAACTCATCCTAGCAATACCAAAATTAAAGCTTTGACAAGTGAGGGGGAAAAATCAGAATGAACATCATGCTGCTAAATTAGACATCAATTCACACATTTCTCATACAAAAATCAGTGCTGGATTTCATGGATCATGGAGAGGAATCACAGGAAGATGCTATAAAATGAGTTGCTCTAATGGAACAGAAAGTTAGTTACTCACTCAATTTTTGTTTGTTGATAAAAAACACTAATCAGCACAGCATTTAACAGGTGAAAGATAAGCTTCTTCTTATTCCCAAGTAACCGATTTTATCATTGCAAAATTCTACAAGCATCATACTTGGGACATTTATCACAGCCAGTATAGTGAAATTTTCAATTTGCTATTTTCATGTCAATAACACCATGCTTGTTAACAGTTACCATGTAAACAACTAAGACATTTGCAACGATTTCTTAGTCCAATTATATTATTAGAAAATAGCATGTTATCTAAATTGCATTTTATTCAATTTACTATTATCATAAATGGTTACCATTACCATTTTCATAAACGGTGAATCACATTACATATACCCACATAGATATTCAAACTTAAATTGCATGAAAGCATATTTATTTTGAACTTCACAAAAATAGATATTGTTGAAGTACTGTCACGTTTGTGACAATTAATTTGTAAAGTTAAAGTCTGATAGATTTATACATATGGATTATATGCATGTTAATTTGAGTCATGTGGATGATAATAGATAGCAACTTTGACACTGAAACAGGAAATGATAATAGATAAATAATTTCTGGAAACAGAAATTAGAATGAGTAGCATTATAGTTGGTTTTATAACTAATAAGCAAGGGTAGAGAACAAACCAAAAAGTTCAAAAAACATATCACCAAATAGAAGAACTTACCTCGTTAAGCATTCTGTGAAGCTCATCCTTTGCTTCAACAATTCGATCTCTGTCGTTGCTGTCAACCACAAAAATAAGGCCCTGTGTGTTCTGGAAGTAATGCCTCCAGAGAGGTCTGATCTGTTTTTCACACGATCATATCACCAGCACATTATCAAAAGGGTAATATGATTAGCTGATAAACAGATGAACTCTTGCAAGAATATCTATAACAAAATGATGATGATATTCTGCAAAATTTTGTTTAACAAGAAAATCTGTTGGGCATTGCAAGAAGAAGACAGTTTAATAACACCCAATCATTTGACCGGTTTTTACAAGTAATTGTCTACATCAGTATCATGCCCTTAGAAACATTTGCTCTTTCGAAAAAGTCATAATAATCAAATAACTCGTATGAGCAAAACATAAAAGAATAACTTCAATAAAAAAAATTAACTAAATAGGCACCACAGTACCTTGTCCTGACCACCAACATCCCAAACGGTAAAGCTAATATTTTTGTACTCCACAGTCTCCACATTGAACCCTGCATTGAAACACTAAATAACTAATCTGACACATATATTTTATTATTCTGGAACGATATTAACTACTAAAAGTCTGGAAGAATGCCCAATACAAATTCAAGTTTCCATAACAGAGCGTTCGCAAGCTAATTAACAACATCACCAGCCTTCCTATTCTACACCTGTCACGATTATACATATGTAAGTATGTATAACCCAAGGCCGGTCAAATGTTGAAAAGGTAGCCACGTTTTACCAAAGTCGTTCTAGATGGCTGAACAGGAAACGTTAAAGTCAAAGGAAAAAAGAGGAAGATGAGAACTCTCACCGATGGTTGGAATGGTGGTGACAATTTCTCCGAGCTTGAGCTTGTAGAGGATGGTCGTCTTACCCGCAGCGTCAAGACCCACCATCAAGATCCTCATCTCCTTCTTCGCAAAGAGCCGGCTGAACAGCTTCGTGAAGGTGAGCCCCATCGTTCCTACGCTCCTAATCCGCAATGTTTACACTAATCAAACATAGAGCTCCATAGATCAAAGATCCAAGGAAAAAAAGGAAACGCAATATCCACAGTGTGAGGAATTCAGAAACACGGATCGGAAGGTCTACAATCAAGGATCCGCAATCGTCGTCATCAGATTCAGATCACGAATGGAGAAAATTCTAAGATCTACATTCGGAACTCGTAAGAGAGCTGGAAATAGGGTTCAGATAAGAAACCTAAGATTTACAAAGAAGAGAACCGATCAAGGATCTAAAAACGGGACATAAGATGCTGCGGAAATGATTCCTTGAATCGAATGGAATAGAAGAAGAAAACGGATCCAAGATCTGAGAAAGCGATAATCGATGCGAAGGTACAGAACAGATAAAGGACCTTTGTATTGAACGGAAGATCTCGGAGAGGAACCGAAGGGAGAGAGGGAGGGGAGACTCGAGTACCCGGAAACCACGGGGAGAGATCGATTCGACGGTGAGACGACTCCTCGATTGCACGTTCTCTCGATGGAAAGAGAGTAGGAAGGGGCGCCTTTATATAGACGACAAATACAAGACTCGAGAGCCAGTGGTCACTCCGCTTCCTTCTTCAGGAGACAGCGAGTCACGTGACTGCCGGTAACGGGACGCGCTTCTGCGTGGACCGCAATCTGGTTCGGTTCATATCGATCGTTAATTGCACTTGGTCCAAGTTATTCATATCAATCCTCAGTCATGGTCAATTCCTTTTGTAAGTTGCTTTACCATAAATAATCATCCAATATGAAAGCCACTCATGCAATTACAAAGAACTTAGCATCATGCACAGGTCTAAACTTGCTTAATAAAGTAAGTAAAGAATGAGGGTAATTTCATATAATTATATACTTATGAAAGTGAAACATATAATTTTAATTCTTTCTCTTCTCTGCTCAACTTATGCTCTTGGTTGCCACTATTCCTATACCGCTTGATTGTCACCTCTCTTGCATCACTCTCGTCGTTGCATTAAGCTCGCTCGCTCGATCGTCGCTTCTCTTACTAGTTATAGGTGCCCTGCAAACTAAATCACATGAGTGCTGACACATGTGATACACTGTATAATAATAATTACTATTATTATTATATTTTTTATTTTATATTATATAATAAATATATATATATTGTGATATCCTTAGATCTGTATAATGAAAATTGAATCATGATGATAAGATCAATTCACATTTAAACATATATCATCACTAAATATTCTCGATTATAGATTACTCGAGAGGAAAATCGAGATAATCGGACATAATCAATGTGTTATATACTCATCTATATGATGAAAGTAGTTGGTATCGTAACTACTTAGGTTGGGACACTATGAATATAATGTAGGTGCTCATTAGAGAATAAATTCACTAAATGATCTACTTATATAATGTTAGATGGTTAATGATACATCATTATCATATAGCGATTCCATAGTCTCAGTTACGTATTTGGTCCATAGATTTGAGATACTAAATATGTCTTATTTAAGTATTCAGTTCTTTATTAACAGACTTATAAGTCTATAAGTTCTAGATCTAGTACAAACGATCATTGGGAATGACAACCAACCTTAGAAGACAATTAAGTGTCAATAAATGATCTTCTATTATTGATATCATGAGAAATATATCATATGTGCTCTCACCCAGACAAATCCTTGACTAGGATTAACTGGATCGTGATGAATATGATAAGCGTGAGATTCAAATTGAGAAAGAAGTTATCTTGGAGGATTCGATTAGAGTGAGGCTCGGATATATTTCATATAGACTTGGTAGCACCATGAGCAGTATATGATATCTGGAATATTAGATGAATGAGTGATATAGATATACGGTAACACATGACAGATATGTTCAATGGATTATATTCTCTTGTATCGTTTGAGGACTACGACATAATAGCATAATATATCCATAGTCAATGAGTTAAGTGATTTATTATGAGGATAATAATTCATTGAGTCAAACGGAGTTCTGAAATGTGAAACTCACGATCAGCTCGACATTGGGCCTAGAGAGTCAACGCATATGATAGACAACATAACGAGTAGATGATTGAATATGAGATATATAATAAGCCCATGTTTTATTGAATCCATTGGGGGAAATCTATTATGACATGAAGTGGTTATTAAATGAGGATCCAATATTCATTAAGCCAAGATAATTGGATAAAGATCCAGTATCCATTAAGACATGATCCATTAGGTTAAGTCACGAGGGCTCTCTATAAATAAGAGTTGGGGCTTCATGGGTCATAAGCTAGACCTCTATTGTCGCCACCTCCTTCATCTCTTTAGTTATTACGGTGTGGTGTATCCATTGGGTGTGAGAGAAGGTGCGTTGTAGAGCTTCTTCATTCATGGACTAAGATCTATAGATTTAGGGATATATGATTTCTCATAGGTGAGAACATCTCACACCGCTTATATGGTTTTGTCGCTTTCAAGTTTTTTTACTCTCGATATCCATGATGATTTGATAAATTTATTTTAGAAAATCAGTTTTTGTTTTTATTTTTTTTACTATGTGATGCTCGCAGTTTCCCAAATAACTCCTGCACTATTCACCACCGTCACACTAAACCCATTCGATTGTCGTCGCATTGGACCCGCTCGATCATTGTTGCTCTTGCATTCATCGATAGGGAGTTCAGTTTTCTCAACAAAGATTAACCTTCTCCAAATGTTTGGACCCCTTATATCTCTTTGCGGCATATCCTCAAGTTACATGACATACTTCTTTATTCTCATAGCAATCTTGAGCTTGATCGTCTTGGCGGCGGCCGCGGCGGCCTCGGGAGAGAGGCCGCATGAGTCCTGCAGGAAGCGAAGCGTGAGGATCGGGTTTTGGTGGTGGGTGCGTCGGTGGTTGTGGATCTAGGATGTTGGGTTGGGGGGAGGGGGACGGGGAGGGGGAGGAGGAGGAGGCAGACGGAGGAGGTGGTTGGATCTCTGACATGGACGGTGGCTCGACGGAACAGCTTGGTGGGGATGAGACGAAGCATCGTGAGAGCAGTTTTGGATCGGCCGACTGCAACAGGGAGATGGTTTTATTACCGTACTCTCTGCTGCATTGATTGTTCGTCTTTGTGCACATTTCTCCCACCCTCCGTTCGCCGTCGTTATTCTCGCTCGTGACTCCATTCGCTTAAGGACGAAAACTCTAAATCTAACATGTTAAAGTTTACATGATATATTCTCGAAAATTCTACATGTATTCTGAAATTTCAAATAATGCCTCTGTTAATTTATAAGATAATAAATGTGATTCTAAAAAAAAATTATTTGACACAAACTCGGAAATGGATTTCGATTAACTTCTACACAACTAAAAATTATCTTATCTATATAGAATATCGGATGCTTTTCCATCCTATTCATGAGTATTTCCACCTTTTTAAAATTCTAGCATTATCCCTCATTCATTTTCCCTTGTCGAGACCAAATTCTTTCTTTTACAAGTGATATAACAAATTAAAATGATTCAGATTAATTTCAAAAAATAAAATTGTATAATTAAAATTAGAAAAATATCGAGGAAGGCGGCTTGGAAGTTATTAAAAAAATATAAGCCAAATTGGAACTAAAATGATTTATATTAATATAATTAAATTTAGGGCAGCCCATTGGATCAAATCCAATTGCGTGCTGCCAACTGTCAATATCCAATAGCATCACTCTCTCGTATTAAACCCATTCCAGCGTATTTTGTCCCGCTCTTTGCTCTCCTCACTGCTGTCGCACTCCTCCCGGTTCCAAAAACCCTAATCCCGCCTTCTTTCGCCGTGCCCCTCGAAACCCTAAATCTTCGATACGATTCCGGTACCATTTCCAGTCGGGCGCCGATGGCCGGTCCTCGATCGCGGTCCTCACCATCCCAGATGCCGTGCGTTAGATGCTAGATTCTTCTCCGAGCGCTTTCTGATCTCTCTCGGATTTGATTTGCCCCAAACTTATATCCTGGCGACGGAGAGCGGCACTGCCGCGCCGGCAGAAGCTGCCGCCGAGGATCCTGGAGAGATAGTGGCGCACGAGGCAGCGCCACCTTTGGGGGTGATGACTGGGCAGTCATCGTGGAGGAAAACGACGGCGATAGCGGATGGAAGAAAGCCGGGAGACCCGGTGATGGGCGCAGTGTCGTGGCCCGCGCTCGGGGATGCCACGATGAAGGTTCCGTCGGATTGTACGGCTAAGGTGGCTCCTTCGGCTGTGCCGCCACCAATGGCAGTGGGGAATGCACGTTCGATTCCGTGGGATGTGCCGCCCCCACCACCACCTCTTTCAGTTCAGGTCAGTCTTTCGACGCTCTTTATGATCTGATGCGGCAGATCTTGACCATTACAATTGGACACGAGTATATATTTTGTATCTCTTCATGTGTGGTCGATGATGTTATTTCGTTGTTTTAATTATTGTATTCAGATTCGCTAACTTCAGAGTAGATATTTGGTAACGTCTCTTTTTCTGGGAATCTTGATGATTGATCAAGATCGGGCAAGTAAAAATGGGATCAGGAGAATGAAGACCAGAAGTAACTTACCATTCCTGAAGTTTGAGTTTTGTTCTAGGCATCTGAATTTGTTGCATAATGACACTGTATAGTTGACTGTGTATTTCACAAGATTTATTGCAAGTAAATAATATATCCTTCTTTATTAGTTAATCACAACACTATATATATTTGCGATGGTTTTCATGATTGTATTAGCTTACCACTTTAGAGTCATTGGGTCTAAATATAATTGAACTCTATGTGCCGAAAGATAGGCTGTTGGTGATATGAACTTTGGGTCAATAAGCTTATGCATCCAAACCTGTTTTCGAATTGTGAGCGTGTTCTTTTTTTCTTCCTAGGCTTACTCTTCACTCTTTGGGATAAAGCTGAAAGTACTAATAGGCATTTATATCATCAAAATTGTTATAGAAGAATGATTGATCATGAGATTTCACCCTTGTGATACATGCTTCACAATGAGCCACTTTAATTATCTTTTTCAGCTTATTGAACCATAGTAAAAGTACTTCTATTTTCAAGAAACTAATAAGGCCTTACCATAATTGATATTAGTGATCATACAATTCATTAATCGTGAAACTTTCTTTAAACTTTAGTCATGAAACTTTAGTAACTCAAAGGTTTGTGACAAAGGTAGACAATGATACTGCTTGGGCTGTATATTTTATGCAGTCAGAAGGATTCCTGGTGGTTGTTGATATTGGATGGATGAGAACGGTGAACGCTAGTTTCCTATTATTTTGATGGTTATGAGCTGATTGAAAGTGGAGGCTAAGAGTAAGGAAGCCAATGGGGATAAAAAAAGGAAGAAATCACATTCAAGATTTCATCTCTACAAAGAATTTTCATCTTTCTATAAAGATGGAAGCTAACGGTCAGATACATAATAGAAAAGGAAGATAATTTTGCAGTCAAATTTGGAAACGTATCTTCAAGAAAAAATAAGTGATTGATTAATATCAATG